CATGTAACTGGTTCAATTCCGCAGGGTAGCGTTTTGGGGTGTAATTTTTTTCTTGCCTATATTAATAATCTACCCAATGTACTGGAGGAGATGTGTGTGCTGTTTGCTGATGATATATCTATCTCAATATCTTGCTCAAGTGCTTCAGAATTACAATCTAAACTAGACTCTACCCTTAATAAAATTACGAATTGGCTAGAATCACACAATTTGCAACTCAATCTTAGCAAAACTAAGCTCATTCAATTCGGACCCTACCAAAAAGTGCCACTAGACATATCGTACAGTTATAGAGACACAAAGATTGATGTTGTCAATACTGCTACTTTGCTGGGTATAGAGTTGGATGCACACTTAAACTGGAAATGCCACATACAAAGGCTGTTAAAAAAGATGTCATCTTTTGTTTATGCATTTCAACATTTAAAACGTGTGACTGATTTTAGATCCGCTCTTACTGCTTACTATGCATATGCTCATTCAATACTATCATATGGTATAATTTTGTGGGGAAGCTCATCTGACGTAGACAAATTATTTATAATGCAAAAGAAATGCATACGAATTTTGACAAACATCGATCAGATGGAATCATGTAGACCTTATTTTATTAAACATAGAATTTTGACCCTTGCATCCATACTCATCCTTGAATCATGTAAATTTGTAAGAAAACACCCAGAATTTTATTCACCAATAGTAAGTGTTAAAAGAAATAATAGGTATTTAAATAAATTAGAAGTGCCATACAGCAAATTAAGATTGGTTTCGGATAGTCCTCATGCTATGACAATAAAAATCTATAATAATGTACCTAATAATATAAAGAACGTAGAAATATCAGCCAAATTCAACAATCAATTAAAATCATATTTAATCCAAAAATGTTTTTATAATTTAAAAGAATTTTTTGACGACAAATGTAATTGATTTTTAAAGTTGACATTTTCATTATTATTATTATTGCTTATTGACATTGTTAAATCTAGTTTATAAAATTGAATTTTTTGTTGTGTAAAAATTAAATTATTATTATTGTTGTTTATTGAAATTGTTAAATCTATTTTATTAAATATATTTGTTGTGTAAAAATGAAATGTGAACTAAGTATTATAATATAATTATTTAACAAGCCCTCTGGCTTGATATTTGCTATGCCCTTGCAGGGCGTCACATATTTACTTTACATAAATTAACGTACCACCATGAATGTTATGTGACATGCAATAAATGAATAAATAAATAAATAGATTTGGAATACATACAAAATACAACAAAGTTAACATATAAAATAATTATTTATTCTGCACTTCTACTTAAACATGTCTGTTAAGTTCTGATGAATTGTATCTCCATATAATGTAACTAGGTTGTGTATAATAAGCGCTTAATGTGTAATAATAAGTAAACCCAGTTCGCATTAAAGCAGTAAACTTTCATTTCAGCTTTAATACAGCTTAATTAGCTTAACAATAATTAGGTATATTTAACACACATAAAATGTAGGAGACAGGTTATTTCAAGTATTGCAAACACTGCTTGCTATATTCATGTTGCAATAAGTCGCTATGTTATAAAAACATACACTGCCTTATTACAAAACGTTGACTGTTAGAACCATAGAGGTATAAAAGAATATACTGGGGAAGGCGGCTCTAAAATTGTCCGTCGAGTAGAAAGAGAAAGAGGATGGGAGACGGCTAGCTATCTCTCACTCTCTTGTGACACATGGCATCCAATGGCATCACATCGAAATAGTAAGATGATTACGGTTGCCAATGCGCATGCGAGATTAGACAGAAAAGCTAGCGGTCTCCCATCTTCTTTCTCTTTCTATTAAAGGGACACTTCCACTTGTAGTAGAATCTATATCTCCCATACTCTATTCTTATACCTCTATGGTTAAAACGAGTCTAAAAATTATGCTGTCACTTTTGTTTGCTTTCGGATAGGCAAAGACAGCATAAGATTTAAACCAAATCTAACGTAAGTCCACGTTTTGGAAAAAGGCGAACAACGGTGTCGATTCTGGCATGATTCTCTAAACCTAAACTAAAATTTGACAAGTGTATCCTAAGGCGCGTTTGACAAAACAAGCTTCGCCAGCATAGTAGACGCACTTGGCAAACACGGAGTCGATGAGACCATTATATACTGGGTAAGTAACATGCTCCGTAACAGACTAATCAGACTACAAGACGACAATCATCTCAGAGCATTGGCAACTAAAGGATGCCCTCAAGGAGGAGTACTGTCGCCTCTGCTATGGAATGTAGTTGTAAACGACTTAATTACCAATCTAAACAACCTTCACTACCACACGGTGGGCTACGCGGACGACCTTGCAATCATAATACCAGGTAAGTTTGCGAGCACCGCCTGTGATGTTATGCGAGGGGCAATGAAGGTTGTTGAAAAATGGTGTGACGACTACGGCCTTAAGGTGAACCCAGTGAAGACGGAATTGGTCATGTTCACGAATAAAAGATCATTAGGCGACTATCGGCTACCGAAACTATTTAACACGACACTGAGGCTCTCCAACGAGGTAAAGTATCTAGGAATAACCCTAGACTCCAAACTGAACTGGGGATCCCACATAGACAAAACTACAACGAAGACTAACATCATTTTCTGGCAATGTCGCAAAATGATTAGCAAAACTTGGGGACTATCACCGCTCATTGTTAAGTGGCTATACACGACCATAATTAGGCCCATCATCAGCTATGCAGCAGTAGTATGGTGGACCAAGACAATCCAGGTAACGACAATTAATAAGTTAAGACGTCTCCAGAGGCGGGCATGCTGTGCAATCACCGGCTGCATGAAAACCACTCCCACATCAGCACTGGAGACAATACTTAACGTGAGACCACTCCACTTGTTTATACAACAGGAAGCTGCATGTACAGCTACGCGCCTAAGCATGCTGGGGCATTGGAGAGACAACAACTCCCCGCACACCAGCATCTTGGCAGACATACACAGGCACTTTCCGTACTTTGCAGCAGTAAACGACCTTATTCCTAAGACGTACGTATTTGACAAAAAATACAAAATTCAACTTTATGAAGACACCCCGGACCGTTGTCTGCATAAGGAGTTGAGGGTCTACACAGACGGTTCAAAAACCAACTGTGGTACGGGCTCGGGTGTCTTCTCCGAAGACCTGAATATACACATCTCGACAGCTTTGGGTGCCTACAACACGGTCTTCCAGGCAGAGTGTGTGGGCATCATCAGAGCTGCTGAGGCGATAGAATGTCGCGGGGTAAGAGGTAAACACATTCGTATCCTCTCTGACAGCGCTTCTGTCCTACAGGCACTGGACAACAATATAATGACATCAGGCTTAATTTACGAATGCCACAGTAAGTTGACTAATATTGCGAACGACAATAGATTGACCCTACAGTGGATTAAAGGACACAGCGGCTCAAGGGGTAATGATGCGGCGGACTGCTTAGCCAGGGAGGGGTCTAACAGGACGGCCATTGGTCCGGAGCCAATTATACCCATACCCTATCGGCAGCTGCGAACCTGGATAAGGGAGCGCTCTCAACGACAACACGACGATTACTGGTCAAAACTCACGGACTGCAGGCAAGCCAGGGAAGCCGTTCCTAAGGTAAACCTGCAACTAACACGTAAGTTAATCAGACTACCTAGACAAGCCCTGAAACAAATCGTGGGTATACTCACGGGTCACGGCTACTTTAACAAACACCTTTGTAATATAGGTATTTCTGACAGCCCTCTGTGCAGAGCCTGCCTGGAGGCGGATGAGACGAGCGCCCATGTCCTACTGGAGTGCAGGGGCGTTGCAAGACAAAGGACTTCTCTAATGGGAAGCCCGAAGACAATAGTAGAGGCCTGCAGCAACATTCGGGGACTGCTGAGCTTTCTGGAGGAGCTGGGATGGCAGGACTGATGCCAATCCCCCACGCAAAATAGGCACTAGGTGTCGAGTTGCGGAAACAGCCCGCCGTACTACTAAGACTAAGACTAAGACTAAGTGTATCCTTGTCATTCTCTATACAGAATTAAAAAGAGAGACTACGGATGTTAAATTTAGTTTTAAGTTAAGAGAATCATGCCAGTATCGACACCATTATTTCTGAATCTACAGCAGAATTAGCAGCACTTAATGATAAATATTTAGGATAAAGTACGTATTATGATTCGTGATCAAAATCATTTCCTACGCGTGTTTCGCCAGCCTAAATAAATTACAAAAAATACAACTTTATAACAGAAACCAAAGTTGGCAATATAAATAATAATAAATAAATATTTCCAACACTCACACCAATTAGCCTAGCCCCAAAGAAAGCACTGTAAAGGCTTGTGTTATGGGTTACTAGGGTAACGCATAGAATACATATATTGTACATATATAAGTATATTTATATGAAATACATATTAAACATCCATGACTGGAGTACAAATGCTCGTATTCATCACACAAACATCTGCCCCCACCGGGATTCGAACCCGGGACATCTCGAGTCGGCGACGCCATGAAACCCGGCGTTTAAACCAATCGGCCACGGAGGTCGTCAAATATGAACTCGCTAAGCAAGCAATGCAATTGATAGAGCGCTAATTCTTTGAGAAGAAACCAACATGAAATGGAAATTTTATCGCAATAGCTTTATTTTTAGTCAAGCTTTAATATGGCCAAATTTAAAAAATATAAAAAAAAAGACAATTTTAATCTGTATTAAAATTGTCTTTTTTTTATATTTTTCTCTTTCTCTTTTCTCTGCAATCTACATATTTATCTGTTTTATAAATAACATTTTAAATGACGGAATGAAAGTAAATCTGCAAATATTTCAATAAAACATACGTCCAAAATATCAAAATAGATCAGGAAATTCAAAGAGTATTGCATAAGGGTTTGGATGAGTTAAATTCTGTGCATTGTGATTTAGGAAAAAGTACCTAAAATTGAAATAGATAATTTTAGTAAGAAGTTGTCCACATAAACTTACTTCAAAGCCAATCTCAGCTTCATATCGTGCTGTGGTAGCTTCCTCATTATATTGAAGGATATGAAAGAGTGCGGATTGCCGATCTGGAGTGCCGTGTTGGTGTGATATTTCTCAGAGTCGCGGACATATATGGAAGTCATTGAAGATCCACCCTGTCCTCCCGCGCGGTATGTGAGGTAACCCACTGAATGTGTATCGAGCTGGAGAGCCAAAGCTGTAACAAAAATATATAAAGCTGGGTACTCATTAGCGCACTGTAACCGTAACCGTGGCTTGCACTGTAACCAAAAAACATAGTGTGGACGTGGTTCGCCAACCTGCTGCGAGCAGCACGCGTGCGGTTTGCAGCGAGCCGACGTTTACAATTGAGCTACAAGCGTACACACTAGAACCTCGTACTGTATCACGCATGTTACGGTTACAGCTCGCTAATGAATACACGGCTTTCTACTAGCCCGCGACTTTGTCCGCGTTATAGTTAGTTTTTTGAGAATTCGACAGGAACCTAACATTTTTCTGGGATAAAAAGTATTCTATGTGAAAATCCAGATCATGAACTATATGCGTACAAAATTCCATCTAAACCCGTTCAGTAGTTTTTGCATAACTGAGTAACAAACGATAAACAAACATGTAAACTTTCACATTTATTTAGGACTAGCTTGCGCCCGCTCCATAGTTAGCTTTTTGAGAATCCCACAGGAATCAAAAATCTTCCGTGATAAATGTATCCTATGTGTCAATCTAGGTAATAAACTACATATGCCAAATTTCATGCATATACTTTCAGCTGTTTTAGAGTGAAAGACTAACATACATCCATACAAACTTTCGAGTTTATAATATTATAGGTAAACCGCTTAACTGAGTCCTTGCTTGCGAGATAAATGTTGATTTTCATTTATATAATCTATTTAAATGAAAATCAACATTTATTGCAGGCTCATCATTTGTTTAATATAATGATGCATACCAATGGGAGTAACTTATTGCACCATACGTATAACTTCATATCTACCATTCAAAGTGAAAAGCGAACTTACTTGAAACAAGACTTGGAGATATTCCTCTAGGAGTGAACTGTAGCACAGTACCACAGTTTAAAAACATTAAACGAGACAATGTCCGGAATATTTTAAAACCTAAGAGTGGCCCATTCCCGATTCCAAGTTCCACTTCTGTCCAGCCCTTTTCAGAACTTAGGTGGCGGTTACAAAGATTTACAGATCCAGTTCCTAAAAAAATATTTTAGTATTTAATATCTGAGAAAAACACTAAATAAAAATTTATGAATTAGAACTATACAGCAGACATAAAATACCAACATTATTATCATCTTAATCATTAACCAGATAAAAATACTGCTATTTTAATAAAAACAAAAAACCATTTCAATTTAGAATCATACAGAACATACCTATGCCATTCTGTGTAGAAATATTCCCTGAAAGCGTCATAGTATTTCTTAAGGTTACTGGTGCATCGATTGATTGTTGTATAGTCATTCCTGACACTTCAATGCTTGGTATGATAGCAGTGTCTTCCCTATTGAATGATATTAACACATAATCAATTACAGATGACTCTTTGATATTTTTTTATTTTATTAAATTAAAATATTGTCTTCCAAATACTTACATAATTTCATACTCATCATAATATTTCATAAACAGGTCTGTAGCATTTACAGATAGAGTAATGGTACCCCTTGGATTGGCACTCTGTTGTAATCTTCGCTCTTCTCTTTCACGTTTTAATCTGCAAAATATGTTAGTTATATTTATTTCAAACATAATCATTATTTTGGTACATACAAAAATCATCTACATTGAAGCCAATTGAGATGCCTCAAAACTATAACATAATGCTAACTCTAACAGTAATAATTCTTTAATACTAAATTTTAATTGACTGTAATAGTCTCTTCCAATTTTTTAGATAAAGAAAAAGAGAGATTGCTATCAAATAAGTTTTAAATTTAAGGGTTACCAAAAGTATGGGAACTATTGTTCGTGATTTAGCAGTCTCTATACATGATGCTAGGGTAAATTGAAATCTTGTACACATTGATACGAGATTTGAACAAAGTTGACTGTTTGGGTCATCTAGACAAATTAATTATTAATAAATAATATTATCATAAAGTAAATAAATGTCCAGTTCACAAAGGATCCTCTCGGTAAAGATTTATTATGCCATCACTAGTAGCATGCTTATTCGTATCATCACCTCTTATCATGTTTAGATATTGCTAAATCTGGAACGTTAGTGTCCTCATACGTCTGGCAACGCTGCGCGGCGCGACCTCGCCCGTGACAACACAGATTGTGTGACAGCACCTTTAGAGATCCATGGCAGCATTAGATAATTTTTATAAAAAGGAAATAAAACATTAAGAAATATCAATTACCTAGGTATTTACAATAATATGATTTTTAATACCTTTCATATTCTTCTCTAATTTCTCTAGGAGTTCGGGTACGAAAAATTACTTCCCAGCCATCAACTTCCAAGCCATGTTTTCCTAAAAATTCATGACATTCTATTTAAGATAGTATCATCGACATCAACATTTGCTTTATTTGCAAATAATAATAGTATAAAATAATATGATTACAATTTGGATTATTATTATGAATTAGATGCGTAAAAATATATTGTTATGATCTTCATAATTTAAATCTGATTGAGCAGTTCAGAGACAACAGAGGCCCAAGTATGAATTTAGACATCTCTGTTATTTATTGTTCAATTTTGTTTAGAAAAGGCTACACTAAAATTCGTGCTTGGGAGTCAAATTGTAAATTTGAAGGATACTCAAGAAAATTTTTAATTAATTATTGAAGTAATGAGTCAAAATTATAGTTTAGCTAAGTGCTATTGCTCGAGGTGCTAATAAATATTTTTAGTTCCATTCAAAAGAATATAAAAAATTAGAATGAGACTACTTTTTATAGCTCACTGTTTTACATTTACTAACATATTGACGAAATAAGCACAGTTTTTGTACATATGCAAAGACACATACTGATGTGTAACTACTAATCTCATTTCTTTTTGTGTGCAAACAATATACAAAAAATGTACTATAGCAAAGAATACTAAATCTTTATCTTATTATTACAGTACAGCTTCAAACTTTTAAAAAGCCTTTGTCTTAAAAAATCTAAGGAATTGGAGACTGACCTAAAATAAGCAAGAGTCAAATGATTGTGAATTTTTGAAATATTAAAAATTCAAAAGATGTTTCAATGGAACAACTTACCCAGTGTATCATAAATAGCTCTCTTGTGTGAATCTGATAACACTTCATATGCTTCCTTGACTTTATTAAAGATTTGCTCAGCCCACTTCTGTTTGTTTGGATCAGTACTGTGTTTGTCAGGATGGAACATACGTGAAAATCGGCGATAAGCACTATTTATTTCTTCTGGGGTGGCCTAAGTAAAAAAAACCTCTTCAAAGTAATAATTTTGTGGTATAACGCTTATCAAGATCAATTGCCACTTGTTAGTCAAATCATACATTTGAGAACAACTACATACATATGTTATTTAGCAAACAGTTTTTAGTTGTGATATAAACACTCGTTTGATGAAGGGAGATAATAATGAGAAATATAATATGAGGCACATATGCCTTTAGAAAAAACTCTCAGTTAACAATCATGCCCGGGATTAAATGTACAATAAATTACTATAATCGACGATCCCTAAAAAACTATTCAAAATAGAATTAATTTCTAACCTAACTTTAGGTGTACTGTAACACCGATAGCAACTTTGTGTAATAAAAAATATATAATTTAATGGACGGGTGCTAAAATAAAATGTACAATGAAACATATTCTCAGGGTTTGGTGTTTAGAAGCACATGGATAGTTATATAATAGTGATAAATGTAAAAATACGAGTCAATGCAACGTGATCTTAATATTTACCGTTTTAGACACATTCAGTAATTGGTAGTAATTGTCTTCTAATAAAATATTTTCTCCTTCTTCGTCCATTTGGTATAATTAATTATAACAATTTTGTGTAAGAAAAACTGTTTTTCCACTTTTCCAGGTCTTTTCACGTAATATTTAGACTTTCAATGAAGTGAAGTGAGTGAGAGATGGATAGATGAGCTGCCAGATGCCAAGTCAAAATGACCACAGACTATTATTTTCACACATGGACATACTTCATAAACGACTGAGTATAAGTCACTGCACGAAACTCTAGCGCTGACCGTTATTGCGCAGAAGTAAAAATTAAGACGTCTACGGGAGAAATGAGGTGCGCGGGTGGGCATTCGTTGCGCAATTGGCTCTCCTGCAGGGCTGCCAGATGAAAAATCTGACTGAGCGCTAAAACGATATAAAAAGCGCTAGATTTCAAGAAAAACGCGCTTCAAAATACCGCTAGATTATGCGCTAAATTTATTTCAGATTTTTATTCAATAAAAAACAGTATTGTCTGTTTCAGTCAAAACGTCAAAATAAATATGTTTAATTTTAATTCTAAAATAATCTTCCATAGCTTAAATAGGGCCAGCTTCATTATGGCCATTCATGTATTTTTTCTCTTAAAATGTTTTTCATATATCCCAATTCTAATCTGTCACAGAATGTATAACTACATGATTTCTTTATAACTTCCAGCAAAATTTAAACATAAATGAATGAAAACAAAACCATGAACTAATGGCAGCAATATTACTACTTATCCATCGTGTTGTGTTGTGACCCATCACACATTTATATCGGTTTCATACATTTAGTATCACGGTTAGAGTAAGAACGCTGTCGAAACATCGCGACACACAAGTATAGTTTTAACCGTACTAAATATATGAAACCGATACCTCTCTGACGCGTCACAACACAAGATAACAGATAAGTGTAATTCTGCTATAAAAAAATAATATAGGAGTTTCCCGAGGCCAAAAATTATCGGTAATAGAGTGCTACAACGACGTAAATGAAAAAGCGCCAGATTATCCGCTAGGCGCTAAAATTTTGAAATAGGCGCTAACCACAACAGAAAAGCGCTAGATCTAGCGCGCAGAGCGCCACTCCTGCTCTCCTGCTCAGTCGTACCCATGCGCAGTTATCCCCTCCGCGTTTTGTTCAGCGCTAGAGTTACGTGTCGCGACCTGTACTTGAAATGATAAAACAGGACGTATGAGAGGTATTTTAATTTTAAACCAAGCCTTTTAGTAGGGTGACCCCATTTTTATTGTATGGGAAACAGTAATGAAAATGTACAGATATTGTATAAAAAACACGGATTAGACTAAATTATGAAGTTGAAATACTCGCAGGTTCCATTCTTTTTGTACATAATAAGGTATTACTGGAGTAAAATCTGACATGATTCTCTAAACCTAATCTTAAATTCGACAACAGTGGTGTCGATTCTGGCATAACCTCTAAAATTTAATTTTTGACAACAATGTATTCTTGTTTAGGAATCTATTATTTTAGTCATTCATTCATCATTACACGCCTTTTCTTTTAATTGATTTTTTTACCAGAATACTAACTTTTTAGAACTTAAAAATACTTGTAATGATAGGAAACACCATGTTTAAGCAGACAGGATCGGCTTTTAAGTGGGAAACCACATCATATTCCATTTTTGTGGGAGCACTCCGACTCGCGCTGCGGAATGATCCAAAATCATAGCGGTAGCACGTGAACTAGTTTTGTATAACGCATATGGCGCGATGGTCATTTACTTTGGCGGAGGGGTTCGCCCGCCCATGCCATCTCCATTGGTATATGCTCTAACACTCAGCTAAACTATTTGACAGTAATTTAGTGTTGCCAGTACCAGCAAAAACATTGGCAAAAACCGTTACTTCCTCAAACATTCATGACTTTATTGACAGACTGTATTTTGTGTTGTGTTGTGACGCAATCGGTTTCATACATATAGTACGGTTACAACTACACTTGTGTGTCCTGATCTGTCCCCATTTGTCTACAGCTTTCTCACTCTAACCATATTAATTGTATGAAACAAATAGTTCAGTGATGTTTTTAGTAGCTCTAAAATCTAAAATTCATAAATTAATAAAAGAAACACGAACCGACATCAACGCCAATCCAAGACCATCGCACAAACCAAATGCCCTCCGTCACCATAACGCCCATCATACGCTGGCCCATCATAAAGGACCTTTGCGATGTTCTAATTTGTTGAGGAGCATGGTGGTTTTCCAATTACAGAGCATAATGCGACTCAGTGGCGCACAATGCCGACCGAATTATGCTTATGCTTAATTGGAACGTGAATTAGTTTTCAAATGCACCAGCAGAGTGCGCTAAGTTCAGTGTTGAAAAAAAAAGTCAATGTTTGTACCTTCATTAATATTTATATTTAATTTTTTAACACAGTTTGAATTAACTTTGATTATTTAAAAGAAAACTATAATGAAACGAAAGTTTTACTAATTTTTCAACAATATATAATATTACTAACGCTAACATATAAATAAAACATTTCGATCAATGCCAACTTAAAGAAAAAACACTTGTTAATTTTCTGTCCCTGAGTTGGTACGATTGCACGCATCACACGAAAGCATTACTTTTGAGAGTGCTCGATTGTGCGAAGCGTTGCTGTAGTTGAAACACTCAACGTTAAGCATTATGCCGCATAATGCGCTATAATGCTGTAGTTGGAAAACTACCATAAAAGACAAGGTCAATTATTGGTTAATTAATCCCATATTTATCCTTTAATCCTATAACGTAAATGATAATTTTCAATCACATTAAATCATCTTTTAAATTTGTACTCAGTCCGCTCAGTCCAGCAGCGGCAGCTCCTCGTCCTGTTGAAATAGTATGTCCATGGATTGGCTTGTTCTTCCATGACATCCACAGATAAAAAGCATACTTTACTCAATGACGAAGGAAGTTGCTCTATGATTAACTTTCAAAGTAGAAATAGAAAATCTGGAAAATATTGTTCGTTCTGTTTCAATTTCAACCTGTGTCAGTGATTTTATCATTAAGAGACTGTACCAGTTAAAATAAAATGTTTTCCTTCGTTTTCTCGTTTAATAGTTAAATATGAATTTACGTTCGATGTATATATAAATACAGAGTTTTCAAGTCAGAGCTGAAAACGCTGAAGAAGTATTATTGCGGTTTTACAGGTAAATACATAATATTATTTTAAAAACATTAATTTTTTGTAACCAATTTTATGCAGCACTTGATTTTTTATTGCTTACCTAATCCCATTCATTTGTGGCGAATGAAATGGTTCAAATTTGTGACGACTTTTATGGCACAGGTAAGTACGGTTTAGAGTGTAGGTGGAAGTTGTTTTTGGTCTTGTTGCGATTGATTTTATTACCTCTGCTATGAAATGTATCAGAGCTTAGTCCTCTAAATGTTTTTTCCTTTTCACATATTTTTATTGTTTTCACTTTGCGGCATGCGAAATGCGTCAGAGATGCACCAATAATTTCACTGAGTAGTTACCTATCATCTTGCTTTCCCCCAGCAGAAGCATAAATTAAGCACTCAACATACAGCATGTGTGAAAGTTTTTGTTAATAACTATTTTAAAAGTTAAGATATTGCTTCCTGTGTTAATGTGTTTACCTTTTTTGAACTTATTATTATTTGTATACAGATAATACTCAATGGGGCTTGCATTTCTGTAGCTGTCCCATGTATATATTTTCATTCCATTCTGCTCTGACTCTTGCTTGGTTAAACTGCAGTCTAAATGTGATGAAATTAATTTTATGGCTAAATATATGGCATAATATGACCTTTTTTTTAACAAATAGAGAGAGTACTAAAGTTAAAAAAATAATATTGAGGAATAACATGATGCATAAACTACTCATTACTTAGTACTTGGAGTTTTAGCACTTTTCATTTCATATCAAATTTAATATAAAAATGAAAGCCATACACATAAAAAAAATGAAATTCTAAGTAGTGACTGATTGTCTGCTTAGAATAATCAGTTTCTTATGAACTTATATCCACTATTTCTATTTAATACTCTTTAAGTTTATTTTCGCAACAAAGGTAAACCTAAATGTATGTATTTTGATGTTAAAAATGTTGGATATCTCCATTTATTGTATAAAATAATTTCTATACAATTAAACACATTTGGGAATACTCAATTGAAAGTCACAATAATAAGTGTATATGTCTATTATTATTAAAATCTAAAGCGTAAGAGGTTTGCAATCAAAACTCAGTCTTACTACAATAAAGTGAGACACAGTTTCAAATCTTGTTTAAGCAAACTTTGAATGAAATATTTTTTCTTAAAGTAGTGTTGATAACTAACTTTTTTGTAGTAATAAGTTTTATGTTTAACAAGGCAACTTTTGACAACATATACCGAGAATTCTGTTTCTCTGGTATATCAAAACCCTATTTTAAATGGTTCAAGAAATGATGAAGCGCTTCGAGAACTGGTAGGTAGTGCTACTATTAGATGCATATCATAATTTATTTACAGTGTCAAGTGTAGGTTAAAGTTGTTTTAATTGAAACTAGCATATGCCTCTGGTTTAGTCAGCTTTTTTGTTATACATAGGTATGTATAACAAAAAAGCTTATGGTCAGTTTTTTGAAGACCCCACAGAAACACCCCTAAAGTTTTCCCAGGATGTAAAGCATCCTATGTTTCAATCCAAGTAATAACTATATGTGTCCCATATTTCATTGGAATCCATTTATCTATTTTTGTCCCAATAAGTCACAAACATACAAATAAAAAGTTTCCCATTTATAACATTAGCATGAATCGGATATATATACCCGTGCCAGCTTATCCAAGTAGTGAACAGCTTATACAAGTAGTGAACAGCAGTAGCTACTACAACACTACTTGTATAAGTTGGCATGGGCTGGCACTCCCAACTATAAGATTTTATTTTTGTTTGTTGGCATGGCAAAGGCTCCAAATATTTTTAATCTTACTTAAAATGTAATTTAAATTAATAGTATATCTAAATTATTTTCTATTTTTATGGTTTTGTTTTTATGGTCTTTTTTTATCTTTAAAGTTTTTACTTTACATTTTCTGATTTTGGTTGGTGGTCAGCTAAGTTACATTATCCAAATATAAAATAATGCTTTTCTGGATTCAGGGATGTTATTTGTTGTTCTCCTGGTACTTCACTATCAGCCCCATTTAATGCATTGTAAATTTGTGATAAAGGTAAATTGCTTGGCAACTTTTGACTAGTTCCTGTGGCCATCTGTGGTCTTCATCATCAGTCCCTCTACACCAAATGGTGTTTTTCAAATGTAAATGTATGAATTGCTATCATAAACATCTTAATTACTGTAGATGTGGATATATTTTATTTAAGAATTTCCTTGGTATATTATGCAGGATACCGTCACTAGATCCTGACCTGATGAATATTGGTTTTAGTGGGAACTATATAGTCCTATCAAACAATAAAAGGATATAAAAAATTGGCAAACACAAAAAAATGAAAATATTCCAGCTGAGTGAGATCCTCTTCCTTTTCTGCAAGTCAATTAATAATCTTCTAATTCTAATCACCCACTTACTAATCATTATTTAGGCTTACTTTTAAAGGTTAACACATTCAACAATGCTGATTGGAATTCTAATTACAGAGCTACTATGACTTTTATGTAGTGAAAGGTATAATCTATTTATAAACCTACTACTACTTGCCATTAAGTATCTTGCACATTTTATTTGCTATGATTTAAACAACAGGTCACTTAAATTATTTGAAATAATTTAGGTCCTAATCTTATGTCGGTGAAATAAGTGTCTTAAATATTGGACATTTTTATCTATTAAGAGCAAGCGCACATTCAGCCACTAGTGGCGGCCACTAAACGTGGTCTCTAGTGGCTCAGTCAAGTCACTAAATGAATCTACCGATCTCCAGTGCTAGTGGCTTAGTGGCGGCCACTCGAACGCTTAGTTTACGTCAAACTAATCCATCCAAACAAATGTATGAAAAAATTCGACCGCAGCTTGTGGACGCGTTTAGTGGCCGCAATGTGAGCTTGCTCATAATGTTCACTTTTCTTATTTTTATAAAGTTTACCCTACCCTACACCTTTTTATATGATGCACGAGATGTGCAGTGGGAAATAACACGCTTTGCGGTGTGGAAAAGCCCCGTGAAAATAATCTGTTCATCGTATTATGACGACCTCCGTAAGTCGGGTGGGTTTGTGCACAGAATCTGTTATTATCTTAGGTCTAGGGAGAATAAATTATGATGCTGTTTTACTTTATTATCTCAATAAGCCGATGTATAACATTCGTTTTCAGAAATTTCATCTAGATCTGTTATGTAACGCAGCTTTTGTACTTTCTTTTATACGTGGCACAGCAAAATTACACCACCCCACCTGATATTAAGTGTAAGTGGAGTCCAGTCGCGAAGATAGATGATGCGGCAGAAAGTATGCCGCTCTAGCCATTCTCACCTAGCCGGCCTATAGCAAATCTCCTACCCCGCGGAGCCCTGGAAACCTAGGTAGCTTTCCAATTACAGCGTTTTATGCGGCATAATGCTTAACGTTGAGTGTTTCAACTACAGCAACGCTTCGCACAATCGAGCACTCTCAAAAGTAATGCTTTCGTGTGATGCGTGCAATCGTACCAACTCAGAGACAGAAAATTAACAAGTGTTTTTTCTTTAAGTTGGCATTGATCTAAATGTTTTATTTATATGTTATCGTTAGTAATATTGAATAATTATTAAAACTTTCGTTTCATTATAGTTTTTTTTTAAATGATCAAAGTTAATTCAAACTTGTTAAAAAAATATAAATATGGATGAAGGTACAAACATTGACTTTTTTTTTTCAACACTGAACTTAGCGCCCTCTGCTGGTGCATTTGAAAACTAATTCACGTTCCAATTAAGCATCAGCATAATTCGGCATTGTGCGGCACTGAGTCGAATTATGCTCTGTAATTGGAAAACCACCCTACTCACCAGCAGAAACACAACACCACCAAAATGTAGTGTTATATTATTTTACTGTCTTCTGTAAGGTGAGTGGAGGTGGCTTCCCTAGGTAAGCTGTGAAATCAGCTGTGCCTTACCTCTCTTAAACTACTTCTATGTTTCTAGTACTTTAGATATAACAGCTATTTAATGTTCAAATCTTTATTTGCAGGTTAAGAGACTGCCAAGATGCCGTCTACTCACCTAAACCTGCGTGAGGACGATGTTGTACGATTGTCCCTAGAGTTTCTCCACAACCGTGACTTACACATAACGCAACTGTCGCTAGAGCGTGAAACTGGTGTAATCAATGGTAATTACGCAGACGACATACTATTTCTTCGTCAACTCATTCTTGATGGTCAATGGGACGATGTCTTGGAGTTTATTCAACCACTGAGCGCACTAAAAGCCTTTGAAGCGGACAAATTTAATTACGCAATTTTGAGACATAAATATATAGAATTGTTATGTATAAGATCCGAAATCAAAGCATACAACAATGTTGAAAACATTGTTGACGAAGTCGTAAAAGTACTTAGCGATTTAGAAAAACTAGCGCCTTCTAAAGAGGAATACTCTAACTTATGTTTACTTCTTACGTTACCGAGTATAACAGACCATGCACAGTTCAAGAAATGGAATCCCAGTAATGCAAGAGTCCAATGTTTTCGAGAGGTATATCCTCTTGTAGAGCAATTCTTACCATGTGACAAGAAATCTAGTGGTAATATATCCAAATGTGCAAAAAATGATCGGCTTATGCAGTTGCTCATAAAAGGTATCTTATATGAGTCATGCGTTAATTACTGTCAAGCCAAGGCAACTGGATCTGACACGCAGTCGAATGAAGTTAATTTTTCCCGATTGTTAGACGGGTCAGGATTTGATGAATCTGATTTAAGCTTATTGTCCTGGTTGCAATCTATACCAGCTGAGACTTTTAGCGTACCGTTTGAACAGAGAATGCTGAACGTTGACGTAGAAAAATTAGAACGCCCCTCGTTGCATACGTCGTGGACAGAACATATGCTCGTGACGCCAATAAAACCTCGCACATTCCCTCATTTAGCTATGCCATTTAGAAGACCGCGGTCTGCAGCCGATGCAATGACGAGGTCCCTGCGTCCACTACCCGATGGAGCACCGCGACATCCAGCCGTTATGGCTTTATCAGCAATAGATTACGGCCCATCTACATCGTGTTTCGCCGGTTTCCATTTGACCGGCATAAAAGGAAACAAGGTGATGAACACATCTGTCGACAGATTGTTTGATAACAAAAATAGTGAAAGTATTTTTAACGGTCTGAGTGATTCGTTGAAACCTATCAATGAAAAACTGAAACCGATCGGAGAGTTTTCCTCGTCGAATAAGAGCAATGAAACCGGCAGCGTGGGCGCGTCCAACGCGACTACGCCGGAACACAGGGGGCAGGATTACTCAGCGTCCACTTCCATTTCTACAACGGCTGCGTCGACTTCATCGCTCGCCGAGCGGCCCCCGCCACAGACCGAAACGGTGGCCGCGATACCTACCTCCGATGGAGATTTCAGAAGAGAGTTGTTGAAAGAATATCAAATTCAAAAACAACGCGAATGTGACGACTACCTACGTAACTTGTATTCATCCGATTTGCGGCAACAGAAAACGTATGTTATACATTTTGTTTGTCTCACTGAAACTTTGTTTAATTTAATAAACACCAGTTCAACAAAAGCTTTTTTTTTCATTTTCAGTATGGAGCAAATTGGGGATGCTGCATCAGGATTTCCGCCTGTCGCAGTGAAGTTTGGACAGCAGCCGATTGTTGACAAAATGCGTGATCAGAATCAGTACTTAAGGTAAGTCCGAAAACAATATAACGGATTCCAAAGGTGCGCATTGTATCAAAGTAAGGAATAATAAAATTGTAATCACCTCAAATTGAGTTCGAAACATAACTGTAGTATGAGAATAGCAATTGCAAAAAATTAAGTAAATGGTTAGATAGTAGCTGTGCGCACTGAGTGCATCGAAGAGCAATAATTTTCTTACGGTACGCGGTTACTGCGACTCGTCCGCCGCACTTATGCAGTTTTCACAAACGATCCGATAAATTGGATGGTTGTGTTTTGTTTGTATAAAGGTTTTTTTTATTTTTATTTTCTGTAGTAGTATTTACTGAAGCGATCTATCATTTTAATCGTGTTTAATTAATTTACTTTTCAGAAGGAGCGATGCTGACGAAATCGCGGAAATGGGAGATGCTTCTAACGTAAGAATATTAGCATTTTTTTTTAACTTTAAGTGCAGCTATAATTTCTTCGGAAAATACTTCAATATTTTATGGTATTATCATTATGTTATACTTGATTATACTGACCTAATAAGAGAGGAAGGGCGTAGCGGATTTTTCTCTCGAATTGGAGCGCTTGTCTGGGGAAGTAACAAAAATAACACTACCTTTAGGTGGTGTGTCTATCGATGAGTAAGGTTCCAGAGGCACCACGGTGTAGAGGATTGGGTCAGCGTAGGAAACGGTGCTAAGTATATTTTTGGTATCACAAGCGGCTAAAGGCTATGGTAGCAGCGTACCATACTCTTGCTTGCCACCCAAATAGGAATAGGTTATGTAAGTCTATTTGACGGTATTAAATTTTGATAATGATCATCCAATGAGATTCTATTATAAGTCCATATAAACAACTTCTTATATTACTATTGATATTATTATGGCTCAATTACACTTGGACGTTAGCCGGTATTCGGGTGCACGAAAGACATTACTCGAATTCGCGCACCCGAAGCAATATTTACACTGGAAGACGGTGACGGGTAACCAAAACGTAATCTACTCGAATACGGGCATACTCGACTCCGTTCGTTTACAACTTTACACTAAGTCATTTACCTGAATTTCATTGTTACTCGTATTCGGGCTAACGACCAAATCTAATCGCGTCATTATACTAGGTATTAAAGGCGACGTCATGTGAAAATCTAGCATTTGATTGTTCAGAAAAATATATTATACCTAAAACTACACTCATTCTCTTATAAAGCACAAAATATTCATTTTTATATGAGAATAACCAATACTGTTGATGGGTGTGAGTCTTATAAATATTTGTTATTATTTGTGTGGAATTACTTAGTTATTTATACAATGATTATATTTTGTAAAAGTTACACGCTACAAAATACCCCTTTACAAAATTGCGCCGCTGCCGTACTGATCGGCGCGTAGGTAGATTTGCACTAGTATTGCATTTTTTGTATTAAAGACGACGTCATGTGAAAATCTAGCATTTGATTGTTCAGAAAAATATATTATACCTAAAACTACACTCATTCTCTTATAAAGCACAAAATATTCATTTTTATATGAGAATAACCAATACTGTTGATGGGTGTGAGTCTTATAAATATTTGTTATTATTTGTGTGGAATTACTTAGTTATTTATACAATGATTATATTTTGTAAAAGTTACACGCTACAAAATACCCCTTTACAAAATTGCTCCGCTGCCGTACTGATCGGCGCGTAGGTAGATTTGCACTAGTATTGCATTTTACGGGTGATGTTTCGAGTCTTATAAAATAATTATTAATGACCTAATTATATAACTATATACATATTTCAGTAGTTCAGTGATGGTAGATTGGTTTTATGAAAGTTTTTGATAGTAATTCTGTTTAATTCAATATCAAAATACGAGGTAAACCTGCATTATTTTTTGAGAAAACTCCCGGAGGTTAGATGTTTTTTCTGATAATTAATGATCAAAATTCTAATACATTTACAACAAAAACGTATTTCTGATGTCGTAGTAATTAATTTGATCTAATTTATTGAACATTATTGAGAGATTGAGGCGTTTGAAGTTGTGCATATTATTGTTTATTCCGTAAACTAGCTGCGGTAGAACGATCAGTACAAAAAAAGGAAAATAGTATTTACAAATATTCTACATTAACTTACAATAGGAAGAATAAATGTACTGTTTACTTCTATTGGATATAGTCAAATCTTAACTAAGGCGGCAAACGAGGCGGCAGGCGAGACGGTTTTTTGCAAAAAAATGTAAAAGGGCTCTTAAAATAACACAAACTTAAAAACTATAATAGCTTAACCTACATAAATAAATAATTTACAAAATAAAAAATATATCACCCCTAGCGCCGCCAGCAGGAATGGTGCCGAATAGGCTGGCAGCATTGCCGCGTTGCATGGCAAGGCTGATCCGTTGACCAAGATAGCTGCCTAGTTATATTATTAGTCGTAACAGGTGAATATCTATTACGACGAATTTCGCGAAACTGATCAACTGTCGTAATATTAAGTTATCTCATTTTCGGAAACAGAATTTTAGATCTGAATAAATTAATAGTAATGAACACATTCATTATAATATCAATAAATAAAACATGTTAGCTCGTAAAAATTTGCTAAGTCTGTTAAGTATTTATTTGATGGCAAATCAACAATTGAATTGATGAATGTGAAACTTTTCAAGGTTTATTTTCTAACCTGATCGATGCGAAATTATAGGTCTACGTTACACATTCTTACTTTATTGCATTTCAATTATGAATTTCGTTGCTTCTGAATTAAATTTAATGCTCAAATTTTTTTTGCCTCTGTACCGACGAAAATCTATTCCTGTGTTAAGACTCTACAGAGATTATTTTGCTATACAAAATGGCCAAGCGACTTAGCCCTGATTAATATCTGACGATATTACGGTCCGCTTTCTCTTCACTGAAAACTATCGTTAATTATTATGATGAATCATTGTGTTTTATATGGCATACGTCTTCTTGGTTAATATCTAACTTCTGATGACGGCACTTCACTTGGCTATTCGAGTTTACTATTTGTAAACTTGGCAAAAGTCTCATCATTCTTTATTTTGGACCTATTAGCTTTATAGGTTCACTAAGGACCACGTCAAGAATAAAAATTAAATAAATCGCCTTTTAAACCTGTGCATAAAGTGTTTTATCTTCACTCAACTCGAAATATTCGAATAACTAAATTAAAGATGGATTTATAAAGATGTACTTTATAAACGCACACGCATAACATTAAAAATAAAACTTATTACAGAACTGTATCGTAAAATAACTTTTTAATCATTAAAGTACACTTTTATTATTTAATTATATTTCTAGGCTGAATGTAAAAAAAGAGGCGCACGCATTCGAAATTTTAAATTAATTTCACGCGCTTCCCATACTATTTTCTTCCGATCGTGTTCTGATTTCGGGATATCAGAAAAATTGCAAAATACTTTTTCAACACATTTGCTCAAAATATGCATTTACGAAGGTTGTATATGTTATGGGCCAAGTGATTAATGCGGGCAGTATTCATAATGCCCAGCGATATCGGACCCAGTGATTAATTACAATCTAAACGCACCTATTTATCACATTGCCCGGCCATTATTAATAATGCCGGACGGGTCGTGGTCCATGTAATAAGTCAGTATTTAGAAAGCTTGAATTTATCGCTTGGACCGGGCAGTATGAATGAATTCAAAACGTTGGTACTATTGTCAAAACAATAGATGTCTCGCCATTTTGTGTTTGTTTTGAGATCTTGGTAAATAAAAAATAGTATGGCCTTCAACACTTAGAAAAAATAGTAAATGTGGCTTTACAACAGTTTTTAATTCAGAACCGACTTGGTCAACCCCGACACGCCGTGGTCTTGGTCTGCCCTACCTCTAGAGTGTTTTTTAGAGCCCGGAGGCGCGGAGGGAGAGCATCCCCCGCCTGCTGTGACAAAGCCGCAAGCATCGTGCGACCCGTACCGCCTGAGGCTGCTGTGAAGCCGAAGGTGTGATGGGAGTGATGCTTGTGACTTTGTCACGTAAAGGCGGAGGGGCTGCTATTCCCGCAACGCAGGAGATAAGGCAGAAGTACTTGTTCTTATTCCTTATTCCTTGTATCCTAAAAAATAGGGAACCATAAATTTTGAACATTTAACAGATTTAATGAATTTTTCAAACAAACTGCATTGAAACTACTATAGACTATGGTTTCTAAATGTAGCCTTTCGAAAATTGATCGAAATAAAACCGAAGTTTGATTATTTAAATTTTTAAAATAAACACTAAACTATAAAATATGTTTTTATTATTACTCCACCCGATAATTGATTTCATTACTTGTAATACTCGGTCTATCTAAGTATTCGTTTGAAATTATTAAACATGCTTTACATCACTCTGCCCAATGGGCACTGGGCATTATTCATAATACCCGGGCATTGTGATAAATTTATTGGTTATAATCACTTTGCCTGATCTTATTGGACATTATTCATATTGCCCGGGCATTATGAATAATGCTCGAATAATCATTAGCCCATAACATACACACATCAAAAGTGTCTAGGGATCAAGCATTTTTATGCGGATTTCTTGAGATTGAGATGTGGCTTTGTAATAAATTTATGATTTTATAAATTTATATGGATCCTTTTTGGTGCATTTCATAATTTGAATCAGGAACTGTGAATCAAATTCGAGTAAAAGATGAAAATCAGCTGTCAATATTTTCCCTATAAAAACATACAACGCATTGAAGACATTATTAGTGCTACTGTTTCCCTACTACTGATTAAAACCAACGTTATTATGGAGCGGCGACGTCATTTAAGCAGGGAAGAAATGCTCAGAGCCGTGGGAATGATAGAAGCTGGTTCCCGGCAACGTACTGTGGCTTTAGCTCTGAATACAAGTCAGAGTGTTATCAGTCGACTTTGGACACGATACCGAAGCACTGGTACCGTGGCTGAGCGCCATGGAGGACGGTATAGCTGCACCACACGGAGACAAGACCGATACATTCAAATCTTAACTCGAAGAGCTCCAAAAATAACCGCCATGATGTTAGCCGTGAGGCTTCATCACTCTTCAGGGAACTTAATTAGCGACCAAACAGTCAGAAACCGCTTGCATGAAGTGAACCTTCATTCCCGAAGACCGCTACGGGTACCACCTATAGCAATGCACAATCGTAGGATTCGATATCAATGGGCTCTTGAACACAGAAATTGGGCAGAAGAACAATGGCGTTTCGTGTGCTTTTCTGATGAGTCTCGTTTTGGTATGAGACCGGATACAAGACGTATACGACACTGGAGAACCCCTGGACGCCAACAGCGATTAAAATCCTGCCAGGAAGTCCATCCTTATAGTGGTGGAACCATCATGGTATGGGCGGGTATTTGGATCGGCGGAAGAACTGAGTTGATTTGGATC